CAGAAAAAAAAAAAAAAGAAAAGAAAAGAAAGAAAAGAAAAGAAAAGAAAGAAATATTTAGACACTTAACAATGTAGCAATAACGCATAAATGCATTTTATTTTTCCAGATATCTCCTCCTTTGGTAATCAATAAAATTTACTTTGAACATTAAGTCTTCTGTTTAGTGGATAACCAACTGAATACTCTAAGTGGTTTAGTTGTAATTGGAAGAGGCAGGCCAAGGACACTGAATTTCATGCAATGTACTAAAAAGTTGTTGATGCAGTTAAAACGCCCTGTGTGATGAAAATAACAAATGTTAAAGTGATGTTAATGAAAACTGAGAGGGGGGTGCTTATTTTTCTCAGCAGTAATACACCAAGTCATCTATATAATTCTGATGAGGACTTGGCTATTTCGAGTTCAACTTCTGTTATCTTCATGATTTTAAGTGAACTACTCAAGGAGAGCTCATAGGTTGAGAGAAAAGTTTTTAAAAAATTGTCAATGTTGATAAGTATTTTAAGTATTGCTATTTCTTTTGTGATAAGAGAATTATAAATTTTTACTTTCAGGTTTTTGCTTGGTTTTGCAAACTCTTTTCTGATATCAAGATGGAACAGTCAAGATTTATCAAGCAAGTTCAACAAATTTTGACAACAGCAAAAAGAATTTTAGCTACCAAAAGAGAAGCTGATTTGAAAACCTAATTCACCCCTAAATCAAAAGGAAAATAAAAAAAATGTTCATTTTGACAAGAATTCAATTAGTGATTCTGATAAAGAACCATCAATTTTCCATTATGAACGACAGGAACCCATGGTTGCTGTGTATTAGAATTCCTTTTTTAAAGTGATAGATTCTCTCTTTTTTTTTTTTTTTTTAATCTCCATCTAGTGCTATTGTTAAGTTTTGACTCAAACCAAAAAGTAGAAATGATTATTTCAGATGGCCTTTGTCAGATGATATAGCACAGGTGGAATCAGCCTTTGTATTTAGGTGGGATTTTAACAATGTTGATTTCAAGTGATGAAGAATATAACCAAATTCAAGCTGCATAGGATAATTCAAATTGCTAATAAAATCTTCCATCACTTTGAATAAATGTCTTTACACACATGAAATTTGCTTTTTTTGTTTTCTTTTCAATTTCAAAGTGGAATTTAAGATTTTATAATAAGCATTTGTTTAAATTGTTTAAAAAATGGCGAATGAATTATTTTATTTAAAAACTTTCAAAATTTTTATGATGTCAATCGTTTTTATTATGTTGAAAGTTGGATAACTCCATAAAATCTTCCAATATAAAACATTTTTTCATGCTAGAAAAAACAAAAAAACAAAAAAAAAAAACAAAAAAACTGTTTTTGAATTCCTTATCCTAAAATTAGTAAAGTTTACAAGTTTCAGGCTTGTATCTTGAATGAATATCTTTTGATAGCAAGTTCAGTGAGGTTAAGGTGTACTTTTGACCCATTTTCTTTGCCCCACTGCAAAATTAGGGCTTTGGCCATTTTTATATTGCAAAGAAGAGGTTGTAATTGGTGTTCTATTAAAAAAAAAAAAGCCTAATCTTTAAGGTAACATGAATCATAAGAGGAAGTTCCAATGAGTTAGCTACTGAAATAAAACTTGTATGAGCTATCAAATTCACTTGTCTGTAACATTTCCACACAATTTTTGTGATGGAATGTGATTTTCACCCATATTTAAGGCTGGTTTGATTTAAGATCTATTAATTCCTTTTATTAGTTTTCTTTTACTTAATGATGGCATTACATTTATAGAGATGCTTCACCTGTTTAAAGCTCTTATCTTTAGTCACACACTGCTAAATATGGCTTTTCATTCAGTATTTCACAAAATTTCTGACAAACTTTGAATGGCCATAACTATTATTAATTGAGGCACAAAGATAAATTTGGTACTTTTTTATGTTTTGCAACAATCTATATGTCTATATAAAGTTTTTTTTTGATATATTGAAAAAAAAAAATTAGTTTGAGATACCTAATAGAAATATATCTATTCAAAGCAAAGGTCATAAGCTATGTCATTTTTTTCAGTGCATGGCTAGATAAAATACCCCACTTAATAAATAAAAAAAATATGCAAAATTGAAGTAATATCTGAACTGCTTGGATGTAACAATTCTCACCGAATCAACATTCTGAAACTAAGTGAATATTATCAGTGCATTTTTAAAGCAATTACTAATTAGTGAACACATGATTTTACTCATTTGTGCATTTATTGAGTTGGAATTTGAGTTCATAATATTTCTATGTGAATTTCAAAGACAATATTTAAATATTCTTTACATAGATCTAATCAAAAACATCTGCTATTTTGTTTCACTACATTTTGCCATCTTTGAAGCAGCAGTCTCATAATTCCACCCTCCAAAACTTGATCTTTCATGATGATAAACTGGTAAGTGTTTTTTTATAGGATTTCAAAGAATCGAGGACATTCTGATTAAGAGAATTTTGCATGGATCAAAATAAGTGGTAAAATGAAGGTGCAAGGTCAAGTGAGTAAAGCAAGTGTCGTAGGACATCTCAGTCAAGCTCTATTTCTGTAGGGTCTGCAAAGATATGACATCCGGCCTTGTCCTAATAGAAAAGACATCTTTTCTAATCGGCCATTTCATTGCATGTTGCCTTTAATCGGTCCATATGGGGGACAGTGCTTATCTGAATTGGTCTGATTTTGAAGAAGGTGTTTGTGAACGCCGTTCCAATCCCATCAGTTGCACAGCAAAACTTTTTTCCAGATGCAGACCAGCTTTTAGAGTTATTAAATGGTGGCTCATTTTGTTTTCCCCAAGGACCTTTTTCACTCCACACTGTAAACAATCTATTTTTCATTTCCTGTGATCATTCTTTTCAAAAATAGATTTTTGTTGCATTTGAGAATATGAAAATGTGACCCATTAAATCGTTTCCTGTTAAATAGGAAGGCACCCAAATATTGTAGTGATTCACATATCCAAGTGTTTTCAAATGCCTTACTTTGCTCATATGAGACATGTGGAGCATCCCTGCAATAATGTCCCTGGATTATTATTATTATTATTTTTTTTTTAAATATATTTTAATCAGCTTTGATTTAGCCATCAACAACTGTAGGCCTGCTGGAATGTTCTTGGTCTTCCAGATCAAAATTTCCACTTCAGAACCTAGCAAACCATTTACAAACTATTCTCAGCTATGGCACCATCTTCATAAATGGTACATTTTTTTTGCTGTTTGTATAGTGTTTTTTTCCTTTCCAAAAATATAAGAGGATTAAATGATGAAAAGGCATATCGTTTTCATTTTTAACCCTTTGAGCCCTGACCAGTTTTATTGTTGGTAGAGAAAAATGGTGTAATGCCCAACCACTGGTTGAACAGTGGGGTAAACACTTGTAACTATTTTTCTGTCTACCGTGAAACATTACATACCAATTATTTGTGAATTTTGATTCAAGAGCTCAGGCAGAAGGGTTAAAATTGTTCAGGAATGCAGGGCTCAAAGGGTTAATCTAAAAATATTTAAAATTCATGATTCACATAAGATGCATTGAAATACCACCTTTCAAAATATGTATATTGCATTATAAATTTTGTCATATGTGAAATAAAATCAAGTGTTCAAACACCACCTATGAAAAACTTCTACAACCCTTTGTTCTAACCCAATATAAAAACTGAACAAAGTCAGGTATCGACACTAGTTTATTATAGAATTTTTTTTTTTTTTTTTTTTTAAATACAGCATTTCAAATTTCTGCACTCCGTCATGAGTGTGAATACAAGTGAAAAATGTAGAATTTAAATACTTTTTTAGATAAATAATTATCACATTTTGATTTTATAAATATTAATGAATTAAATTTATTCATACACAAGTGTTATTATGGACAATTATAACGTAATAAAGAATAATTAGAAAATGTATGAATCAACTACGAGTAGTGGAAGAATTCTACAGGTATCAAAACCATCAATAAACAAAAGCTGTGGTTGAAACTTTTGAATGCATCTAGGAAGAGGGAAGGAAGGGTAAAAATAGCATACATATTCTTATTCAATTGAATCTGATGTTCAGTTTTGAAATGATATTCACAACATTTCCTGTGGAATAAATGTATGAGATCCCCTATAGATTCAACAGCCATGAAGGCAGTGTTAGTGTGTATCAGAGCATGGATGTGACACATAGAAGTCAATGTCATCTACTGAAGTAGTAGTCAGTGCAATGATTTTCCACAGTAAATTCTTCCCACACAGGTCTCTTGAAAATTCATCCAGATCTACTGATGAATTGCAAAATAATTTTTTTGGACCTGAAGTACAACTATGAATAAATATCTAAAACATTATTTTAAAAACATTAGCAGATGCACAAGTCATCAGCTGGCTGGTCTGAAGCAATCTTGAATTATTTAGTTATTCCAAGCATATACCTAGTTAAAATGTTCACATTAAACATGTACTGGTCATTTGGTCAAGATTTTTGGGAGTGGGTCAACACTTTTCAACACCTTCCTATATGTTTACTATATAAAAGAATATCTCAATTGTAAGAATTTTAATCCAAGTATGTGGATTACGTATAAATATTTTGTGGAAAGTAAATTATTTAAAAATACAATTTCAAATATCAATTTTTAATGGATACAGAGGTAAAATTTGTAAGTGATACAAGGAAATGAGAATTGTCAATCAGAAATAATATTTTCTTAGATATTACATTAATGAAGCAAAAATAATTTTTTGCTCAAAATAATTTTCCCAGATGAAAGACTAGCCCAGATTGTTTAAATTAAGATGATATTCAACAATTACTGAAGCTACCTATCTATTAAGCCTTCAAAAATCAAGTTATATAAAATAATATAATCCTGTTGTGATCTTAATATATTTTTTATACAGAAAAATGTTAATAGATCTTATTTTAGACATTTTCCAGAAATTTGAAAGATTAAACACTTTTGTACATTAAAATTAGATACAAAGAGGTGTTCCTTACCTGGACTTTCTACACGTTTGTAGTGGTATGGATTGATGCAAACCTCTTTTTGTTTGGCACTGAATGGATACTGACAACATTCAAGAGGTTTTAGTTCATGATGGCTTTGCAAGTCAGGCCAACGCCAAACACGACAATAAATGACATGTGGTAAACCTTTGCGATGGGATACTTGAAGACGGCCATCTAGAGAACGAGCTATTGTAACACACTTGCTTGGTTGGCCAGGACAACTGAGAGCCTTCTCCAATTCCTCCAAAGCACCTTTCTTTTCCTTCTTTAATTTCTTGACTAATGAATCAACTGCTTTCTCAGCCCATTTTTCTTCTTCATCTCCTTGTTTCCATCCCAGTAACCGCTTTACAGCAGGACTGGTGAAAGAAAATAAGCTGTTCAAACTGGAAATTGCTGAGGTCATTGTCAAATTCAGACAGCCTGAAAATAAAATAAATAGGAAAACAGTTTAATAATTGATGAGGATAAAGTAGGATAATACTTTCATTGAAAGATATATCAATATTATAATCTACCCCAAAGAGAAAAACAATATTAACAAAAAGCACCACTTCTAGAAAGTGATAGTGCTACTTTGCCCTGGGACTTCATTATATGTATTGACCACACTATACACGCTAACAGACAAGATATAATCATAAAAACAAAAAACATACATGCTATATTATAGATACGATCATTCTGTTTGAGAAACATTACAACAAAACAATTTGATAAACTCTCCAATCATAAGGAGATGGATATAGAGATTACAAGAATGTGGCATTTAAACAATTATTATTCCAGTAGTATTCGGGGCATTAGGAATGAGTAACAAGAATAATTATACACATTTTAAAAATTCACAGAAAATCTATTTTTATCTGAATTACAAAAGACTCAAGTGAAAACTTGGTATGTGATTGTATTAAACAGAAAATCAACAATAATAAAACTTCCAGAAACAGGTTATATATTTCAGGATAAATGATAGCATAAGCATTACCATCACCAAGTATCAATTATTTACAAAGCTACAGATAAGACAATGGAAAATATAGTTTGCATTTTGGGGAGAGAAAATCAGAATACGAGCACAACAAATGTTACCTTTAGTAGTAATAATAATAATAAATTAAGAACATTTTGAAAAATCTGTTGTAAAATGAATTGTGGAAATAAAATTGTATTGCATAGGGGTTTTTTTAGAAATTATACTGGATGCCCTAATCGGTCATCACAATTATGTTAGGCATAATGTGTGTTAAAAAACTGAAAGTCACACATATGTTGAAAATGACAGGAGAGTCCATCATCAATGTGTGTTACATTATAATGATTAAATTAAAAAAAATATATTAAATTAGTAGAATTCCTATTAAATTTATTAATTTCTGGTTAAGTAATAATATATTAGAAGTTATCCTCAAAATTTTGGATAAAATAAAAAGCAAATAAATTAAAAAAAAAAAAAAAAAAAAAAAAAAAAATAAATAAATAAATCACAAACATTAAAATCTAATGCTATAAAGACAGTAATTGTATGCAATTAGTCTATAAGAGAAATTTTATTGATACATGGTGTTGACTCTTGGCATCACGAAAAGATTCCACAGGTCGTCTATTTTCAGGCAAACTCCAAAAAGGTATATGTTCTTATAAGTGTCCTTATAGACATTATGAAAACATTTCTAAGAGAAATACCAGCAGCAGAGCAACATAGAAATTGGAATTACCCTTGGGAAAAGCATGAATAGGAACAAATGATGAGACTGGCATTAAAAAAAAAAAAAAAAAAAAAAAAATACAGCAACAGTATGCTTGTCTTAGTTCTTGCTTGATGGAGATAAATAGATTTGCATATTTAGCTTTAAAAATCAAACTGTGACAAGTGTTATTCATTTTCAAACTGGTCTTAGTTTTTTTTTGTTTTTCTAAATAGTTCAGTTATTTAAATAAAATCATTTTCTACCCCAAAACTGGTAATGATTGGCCTGCTTTGATTTATAAGTGAGAGTAACATCTATTGAGATTTATTTCATTAGTATATTTGGAAAAATTAAAATATATTTCTGAATGGTTTACTTTTTAATAGGTGTCGATAAATAAAAAAAGATACCTAAGTTTTAAAATTAAAAAAAAATCTTTCTTAAAGCTTTTATTTTAGAATTAATTTCAAGCTACTAGATAAAACTTAATATTTCCAATGAGCAAAACTTTGCTCCATTTCAAAAAATAATTTAAATTGATCGGAAGGTTTTTTTTTCTTACTAAAATATCTGATATCTAAGAATTATATTGCGATGAAAGATGACTAAAAAAATAAATGGTGCTCATTTATTTTTTTAGTCATCTTTCATCGCAATATAATTCTTTTATTTAAAAAAAATCTTCCAATAATAAAATATACTTTTCTGAAACTGAGGTATAATTAATATGATTTGAAACAAACATTTTAAAATATTGCAGAAATGCATTTTTAGTCCGACAATAGCTCTTTTTAAGATGTTGACAAGAAAAAAATAAAATAAAAAATACAGAATTTTAAAAGATTTAAAACTTTATAAATTATTATAAGTAAAATTTTTTAAAATGAGAACAATTCTTGTAAAAATTCATAAAAAAAATTATATATATATATATATATATAAAAAAAAAAAAAATATATATATATATATATATATATATATATATATATAATAAAAACAATTAAAAGCTTTTCTATTTAAATAATGCCTTGTTTTAATGCATTTTTTATTTTATAATTCAGGGCAGATTTTCAATAAATGGTGTTTCTGTTTGAGAAGAAAGATTGTCTTAAATTTTTCTAGGAGACCTGCTTTTAACTAATACAAATATGAAGAGGCTGAAATTTTAATTTCTTGGAATTTCATAAAATTAAGCAAGTGGGGGTAAAAAAAAAAAATAATTTATTTGTGAATGTCATGAAAATTTCATTAAAATCCAACAGTTATATGATTTTGCAAGAATTAAAATTTCTAATGTTAAAGGATTAAAAAATTTAATAATAATTGAAAAAATACACAAGGCTTTCCTCTTCATAAACATTTTGGCGATAAGACTGTTTTCATCAAGTTTGGTGGCCATTACATCATGCTAAGCACGTTTTTAGTTAAAATAGTGGAGGTACCTACATTTTAAGTATCATTTACAAAAATAAAGTTACTGAATTTGTTTTGTTTAATTACAGATTCATCTTTGGGTTTAAATGTAAAGCAAATTAAAAAAAACAGACTGAATCAAAAAATACAAAAAACATGGAGTTATATGGAATCAGTTAAAAGTATGAATCACGAAAGAAAAAAAAGGAAATCATTTTTCGATTAAGGCATCTTTTTACAAAAAATGATTAGGTTCACTTCAGGAGACATGTACAAAAAGCTTTAAGTTAAAGAGTCAATTCCTATTTTGACAGATTTTTACAGATAGTAAAGCAGTGGTACCATTACAATCTGAAAATAATGCTAAACAAGTTTCTAATCATGAGAGAAATTTAGTCTGAAAACTTTGACTGCCATTAGCTTTTGTTACCAAAAACAAAACAATTCATAAAATTTGTTTGTACATGGCATTTGCTTATTAAATAAAAAATTTACATAAACTATTGCACTGAAGAAAAATAGTTATTTTGTGTTTATAATGTGCTGCAGTTAATGTTGCCTCTCCAGTCTTTTGTTCCAGGAAATACCAAGAGATTACTTCTGACATGTGAGTGTGGTAATTTCTCACTTTATGAGCTTTATTAAAAACTAAGTTCTTTGTCAAAGTTTTTTTTGACAAATTGTTAGATATCAGGAATATGTGCATGTACACACACACAGGAAGCACTGAAGAGTTTTCAGTCTGATCAATAAGCTTTTCATTCATGAGCTAATCATGATATGGAAAGCAAAACATACTAAAAAGGGTGGAAATATTTTGCACTTTTTTTTTTTTTTATTATTCCAAATGATTCAATTTGAATTTATGAAACAGATTTGTTTTAATTATACACTTACAATAGCAGTTTATGTTGTCATACAAATTTATTTAATTAAAAATACAAAAATTGAAAAATATAATTGTATTACAGAAGAATTCTTAGCAAGGGTATTTGGTTGCTTTATTGTCAATTTTACAAGATCGACAAAACAAAATTATTAATTAAAAGAAAACATCAACAAAGATAATGAAATTCAGTGTACCAATTTCTCTTCCACAAATCTTAATTTGCAATTAACTAGAAGTGGAAAATTATATAATATTAAGCACTTGCACTAATTTGCTGCAGGAAAACCATGATGAAAACATGCCTGAAACTTTATAAAAAAAAAAGAAAAAAAAAAAAAAAATTTTATCAAAATCTTTGTTATTTTTTAGAAGAAAGACCAAAGTATTTTTTCATTTGTTTTTAAAATCCTTTTTGCAATTTTGTTAAAAATCTTGCTTTTCTTGTGTCAGTGGGCTGACTAAATTAGCATAGCAAGTTTTTTTTTTTTTTTTTTTTTACAGTAAAAAACCTATCAATTAGAAATTCTTGCAAAAAAAAAAAAAAATAAAAAATAAAAAAAAAATAAAAATAAATAAATAAAAAAAAATCAAGCAATTGTTGGATATTAATGACACTTTCATGACTTATGAAACAAATGAATAAAATTATTTTAGAAATGTTTTTATTTTTAGAAGATCTTGGTAAAAAATATATATTTTATATAACTGTTATCCACCACATATTTAATTTTATGAAAATTCAATGGTAGAATACTTGAGGCTTATGTTAGTTAAAAGGACAAGTCTTGAGGGGATTTCAATCATCAATTTCTTTTAGTCAAACAGGATCCCCCAATTATAGAAAATTTGCTCTCAATTGTAAAATAAAAATGCAAGACATTATTTAATTACAAAAAGGTTTAAATTGCTTTTATAAATAATTCAATAAAACATTAGATTATGCAAAATATTTTCCTATTTATTTTTTTTACCAAGTACTTAAAAAAAAATTACATAAAAAAGGTGCTCCTATTATATTCTTCACTTATTTTTTTTTAACAGATATATCCACCATAGAAAACATCTGTCAACACCTTAAATAGCTATCAGTGTTAAAAACATGCATTTCAGTGATATTTTACACTTGAATATTTGCTTTAAATCAGCTAATATTCCTTTATTGTTTCAGAAATGTATATTTTATTTTTGAAAGATTTTTTTTTTAATAAAGAGAATTATATTGCAATGAATGTTTTCTAAAAGTGGCGCTGAAATCAGTTATTTTGGCAAAAAAAAAAAAAAAAACCCTCATTGTAGACAAATTAGTTTTGAAGTATTTTGCTTATTGGAAATATTAAATTTAATCTACTAGCTTGAAATTAAAACTAAAACTAAAACAAAAGCTTCAAGATTTTTCATTCTTTAAAATACATTTTAAACCTTATGTATCA